GTAGATCAATGCAGTCAAACGTCATCGCCATAATGAAGTCTGACAAGATAGTTATATAGACGAAGAATCGGATTGATCATGTTCCTACAAAGATAACAAGGCAATGAACGATATCAAAAGTCTTTCGTTCTTCTGTGACATACAATCGAAATCGAATCACAGATAACATGGAGATGTCGAATATAGAAACATCGAAAATAGATACGGAAGAACGGCATTCTGATCAGAAAATCGTAAACAGGAAGATGCCATCTACAACATATGGCTTTATTAAGAGGTTGCTGCAAATTCTCAGACATCCTCCTTCAATCCAAGATTGAAACCAAATTCCTGGGGAAGAATAGCATGGATTCACATAGTTGTAGGGATTGAGATATGTATCAAAAGTACAGCTAATGCACTTGTCTATCGAAGTGTAATATGAAAAAGGTTAATCGGGTATATCGAGGAGCAAATGACGATGATGATTCATGAAAGTGTAAAGGTATGGTAAATGAGACGATCGCTTTAACAACATTTCAAGTTCCTTACCATCTCAATCTCTTGCACAGTATGTCTCGTCAAATCCCTGAAGAATCTAGGAAACAATCTCAACGATATCAACGAGATGAGTCCCTCGATATCCTACGAGGTCTTACGACCTTTGCGATGATTCTAGTTAATACTGCCGATTCAAGAACTCGACCCGGTTGGCTTGCTCATGCAAGTGGTCTTCATCAGTCTATCACCTTTGCCGATGTAAGTACAAACGATTATTCTCATCATTACACCATCATGTCCCATTCTGATATCGATCGACATGTTTTATGATCTGTAGACCATCTTCCCCTGCTTCCTATTTACCGCTGGTTTAACCGAAGAAGCTACTGGCGGGCCACCTGGTATCAAGAAAGGCCTTCGTAGGGCTGCTATTCTCAGTCTTTACGGTGTAGCTTATAACAATGTATTACCACGCCTTATAGGTAGAACTCAGAAAAGCGGTTTATGGGATTTCAAGACATATCGTATACCATCAGGTTTTAGGTCGATTAGGAATCGCTACTGCAATAGGTGCTACAGGTCTTCCTCCTAGCCTTCTTGCAGCCTTATGGCATCTTTTAACTTCGATCCGTCCTTTCGATCCACCTGGCCAATCTACACAAGCTTTACTTGATTGCTTAGTGTTCGGGCGAAATCATTTGTACGATTCGGTTGATGGGTTCGATCCTGAAGGTCTTCTTGGTTCACTTCTTATGGCTCCGGTTTCGCTCATACTAGGTCGACAAGCATATGCTATCGCTCATCATTACATTCAACCTCGTCTCTCTTTTTCGATTTTACCAAACTTGGGCTTATTCATTTCTCTCACTGGACTTCTTCCTCAAATTCGAGTCCCAATTTCAAAAAATCATTGGACACCTACTTTTGTTGGACTTACAACGGCTACAAGTTTAGTTTATTGGGGAACTGCTTCTATTCTTAGTAGATTTAGAGCTAGTCAATTTGTGGCAAAAATCGGAAGATGCTCACTTGAAGTCTATCTTATTTCTAGTTTCCTTCATGGTGCATTAAGTGAATTAGGTATCTGGGAAAAGCTTGCAAACCTCATGATTAACTCATTAGGAATTAGTGATCAGCTTGCTTATATTGCTAATAGTTCTATCTTGGGAATTGGAATGATACCTCTTTCTGGTTTACTGTTCAAAAAGGGTTGGATGATTCGAGTTTGAAAGATCAAATGACCTTTTCATTTTGCACATGATGCAAAATCCAGGGGTGACTTTTTTGGTAACCTTTTGGCTTTTCGATTATCGATCAAGTACAATGTTTTCCTTTATGTATCATCGCATTGAGTAGTAAACAAGATTTCTCTCGTATTGAGCCATAAAGTAGAATCAAAAACTATGTAGCTTCTCGTCAAGGCCTTTTGTAGGTCCGCGGGGTTAGATGTTGATACCCCTTGTGATTTTGGAGAGGTTGAGATGAGTGTTATGATTTTTCCTGAGCAAAGGAGAGCGTCCTCAGTGCTTATGAAATGACTGACTACCACGATTTTTTGTTTGTCGGCTTGCAAACACAAAGCTATTGATTTTTGAGCTCTACAGAAGGACGATCGAAACCTCGATCTATATGGTCGCTCAGGTTTAGGCTTGTCAATGATGAGCTGTTTGTGCCCTTGCTCTCCATGATCATGACCACACATCCAAATCGAATCATTGAATTGGGCTCTCGTCCTTTAGAAACGTATATGAGAGGGTTGCAACGTGGTGTGCAATGCTTTGTACCCACGTCAAGCCTGGTCTGCCTCCCCCAAAGAAAAAAGCCGCGCTTTGAGTTTCTTGATCTAGACCTCGGCCGATGCCCGCATTTGATGTTCAGCAAAAGCAGAAAGGCGTACATATGTATCAGCGGTTCAGGGCGTAGCTCAAATTCAAGGAGGGTGCGAGAAGTTTTGAGTCATTTGAGTGGAGGCGATAGAAGCTAATCCTCGTCCGACGCGATCATGAACGCTCTTCTCCATCCAACTACAAATCAGGGCGTCGAATCAAATTTATACCAGTCATTTTGGTTTCAACTCGATCAGTTCTTCACTGAACGCCTCAACAGTTTTATCAATTGGTCAATCATCGTGGCTCGACTTACATCATTCCACTACAAATTCAATTGAGCTCCCACCTCAGGTCATTAGGGTTTACAGGTTTGAATCAGATCATCGTATGCGCCCAATTCTGCGTCCCTGTGCAGAGTTGGTCATTTCAGTTTTGGATGATCGAAACCGATTATGGAAATGACCCATTCAATGATGAATAGCGGATTACTCAATGCGAGGTTCTTTGGAGGCTGATGCGCTTTGTTCCTTACTTTCCTCGCAGAGCCGTTGAATTAAGCGCGACTTCATTTTAAGATCACAATCGCGCGTCTAGGCAGGTATATAAAGTACATACCTCCTGCGTTGACTACTCGTCTTCTTCATCCACAACCCACTTCCTTACATATTAATTATCTTAACTAATTCCCTTATTTAAGCTTTTTACCCTCCGACTTTCTTTCCAAAGCTTTTAAACCACAACCTCATCCTTCATTATGAAATCTTCATTAGCCACTGTCGTCTTCCTTGCAGCTTATGCTGTTAACGCTGACTCACGAGTTGAAAAACGTGATGCTGCTCTGACTGGTATGTTGACAAGAATTTTCTACAGGATTCATTATTGTCTGCTGCAACCTAGAGATTAATCAAGTTTTTTTTTCTACTCAGATGCCGATATCCTCAATTTTGCATTAACTTTGGAACACTTGGAAGCTACTTTTTACTCCGAAGGTTTACAGAAATATGATCAAAACACCTTCACCAATGCTGGTTTCAGGTTCGTTTACTCTTGAGCCATGGCTTTGAAAGTGTCGCCGCGCCGCTAATCTCCCTACATTTCAGTACTGCTACCCGAGCAGCTATCCAAAAGATCTCTGATGATGAAGCTTCACATGTTAGCTTCTTAACATCGGCTCTTCAAGCTGCCGGTGCCACTCCCGTTCAAGCCTGCAAATACACCTTCCCTTACACAGACGTCAAGTCTTTCCTTGCCGTCTCACAGGTCCGTCGTCTCTGATCCTTACAATCGATACATTTTCCTTGATTTTTTTCTGACATTCTGCCCCTCAACCTTTTGCTTGCCTCGCTCATGATTGGCTACAGATCTTAGAAGGTGTTGGTACGTGTCTTTCATACCCTCATTGGCAGATCTCTCTCGTTTTAAAGCTTACCTGAACTTACTCTCCCCTCGCAGGTGTATCCGCATACTTGGGTGCTGCTGCTTCGATCCAAAACCCAGGATATCTGGTACGATGACCCCGATCCTCCACTCGACCTGAATCGGTATCAAGGAAGCTGAATTTTAACTCCTTTTCACAGACTGCCGCTGCCTCAATCTTGACTGTTGAAGCCCGCCACAATGCTTACGTTAGATTTGTCAACGGCGATTCTCCATTCCCCGCTGCATTCGACACACCAGTTGGTCCTCGAGGAGTAGTTACCCTTGCTACTCCCTTCTTCAGCAGCTGCCCCAACGGTTCTGCCCCGGGTCTTCAAGGTTTCCCAGCTGTTAACATCACAGGAAAGATCACCCCAGGGTCAACCTTGTCGATCTCTGCTGCCAACGCTACAGGTGCCACTACCTGTGCTTTCCTCAGTGGTTTGAACACCACCACCAGCTCATACAGCAACGGTCAATGTCAGGTTCCATCCGATGGAAAGGTCGGAAATGGACAGGTAGGATGCTGCCTCTTTCAGTCTCTACCTTGAATAAGCTCACTGATATTCCGCAATTTTCAGATCTACGTGTTCTTGACTAATGGCCCAAATGTTACTGATGCCACTACTGTGGCAGGACCTGGTATCATGGAGACCGAAACCCCTGGATCCATGCAACCCATTGGAGGTGGTGGCATGAACTCCGTAAGTAACTCAGATACTGTATCATACATCATAAACATACTCATCCTTTGACTTCAATGTAGACCACTGGACCTAATGGAGCAGCTGACCGAGCCACTAGTGGTGCTACCTCAATCCGCGGTGCTTCCATGATCTTAGCCTCATTCTCTGCTGCAGTAGCTTCATATATCTTTATGTAAAGTTTTCAACGATCATAGCATCTTCGTCTTTCTTAGTATCACGTGACGCTTTTTCAACCTATTGCTTGTTTTAACATGCTTGTGTGTTTCTGTTGAATGTCTTTCCTCGACCTCATGATTTATTAACGCTCTTTAACGTTATTTTGTATGCCACAACAGAATTTGTTTTTTGTTTGAATTATCATACAGAGTTACATGCCACGACAGTAATGTTTTGATTCCTTTGCGAGCCAGTTGAAGGTAGCCAATCTCTCCTCCTCACCCAACAATGATTTGACGCTTTGAGAGTTTACCCACAACTCTGTACAGCGAAGTAGCACATTGTGACTTTGCCTACATACAGCGCAGCGGAAGTCGCTGGTGTTTTTGCAGGTTTGACAACATATGGGCATATCCATATGGCGTCAGTCAATTTCAGGATCCTGTTATCACTCATCCTGATATTTCAATATCATCTGAATACATATCAATATAGACTGCCAAACAAAGTACGATTGAAATCCAACCTAGACAGAGACAAAGGTGATTGGGGTTTGAGGCTTGCGAAAAAAGCACGTCGATATCCAAGACTTCTATAAAGCCAAGCATCTCTATCATTGTTCGAGACCCATCCACATATCAATTAATCGGCTCAATCATCTTCCCTTAAAAACCATCTTAAATAACCTTCCTTGTCTACTGCAACCATCAACTTTGAAAACCATGTGTTTCTCTATTCTCAACATACAATTTTCCTTACTTTTGATTTTATCAGTCTTTGCATGTAAGTCAAGGTCCTTTTTGTGGGATTTCTAACCGTTTGATTTTTGCTAAATAGGTTGGAAAACTGATGATCTGATTTCATTCTTTTAGTGATTAGAGGTTCACCATTCCAAAACGAATTGAATCAAATCAAATCACAATCCATAAAGTTGAGTAAAAAAAATCTTACTCAAAAACCACAATTCAAAAGGAAGTTTATCTAACATTTTCTCATTGTTTTTTTCTTGGTTCTTTAGGAGATCTAATGAATCAAAAGATACATTCTATAATTTAGCTACTAATTCAGTTACCACTAATACGGATACCAATGTGACTCCAACTGAGAAAAAGAAAGATAGTTAAAGTTATCCTACTACAAGAAGGAAATTACTCAAACTTTACTCGGATTTAAACTCTTTGATAATTTTTATTGATTTCTATTTATTCTCATTTTGATTTGTTTCTCAAAGATCCTTTTGAATTTCACAATTTAATATTCCACAACTAAAATTATTCAAATGCTATCTGAAGCCTTACATGGATATCATTCCAGTATTGATAGGCTCCGTGATCCTAGAGATGGTAACACTAGACAACTGAAATTATCAACACTTTGGGAAAATTTAGAGATATCTTTGAGAATGCCTGGTATTGGCTCATGTACCCCAAGTTATGTAGAAGCATACTTTGAGATGTATTGAAAGCCACGCGGACAAGAAAGGCTTCATCCCGTACGATGACGCAGTTCCGAGCGGAACTATGATCAAATTGAAAAATGATCCTCAAGCGCCAAGTGTTGGCACCCACAAATTCTTTAAGTGACCTATAACTGATGCTTTTGCACCCCGATTGCCCATGAATACGAACCTACGGACCGGCTAGGCGTGTTGAGAAAGAGAGAGAAAATTAGAGTGTCAAGTCCGTCAAATGACCAGAAAATGGTGGTTGATCCCACAGTTTCTTCATTAAATGTCATATTTAAATATCTCTACTTTGTTGTTGAGGAGAAATGTAATGTCAAAGAAGAAATTCTCTATCACTAACAGATGACTAACAGCCCATTTGATGATAACAAGCCTCACTGTTCAAATCTTGGCATCTTAAAAAGAAATATGTAGCGGATAGAAACTTTTTTACAATAATTTTCTTTGCTGGATTATCCATTGGGAGCGCGGTTTATTTTGCTGTAAGGTCTGAGCTTAAACCAAACGATGCCACCATATTAGGACAAAACTCCAAATGTTGAATCTGGCACGTGGCGAGTCAGATGACGATGCCTTGATTGTGCCACCGGTAAATTCTGCGCGATGCTCATGCCTAGTCTTTTCCCATCAGGAATACGTTGGGCCCTTCGCCGCACTGTGGAGATCAAAAATCATGACCGATCGTCTGTAAAAGAGGAATAGCTTCAATCATCGGACGATACTCCTTGTGGATAGTTTCATGAGAACCGCCTTCTCCAGTTGTCTAAAGCAACACAAGTGATCGCAACTATGACGAATCTCTTTTGATTTCCCTGTTTCTCGTTCTGACCCCTGGCAGGACCTTGCTCATCTCGCCCCAGAGCCCTTTCGGACTTGGAAGTAGTCTTCATATGTACGATTGTCGTAAGTGCGAGACCGTGTATTATCCTACTTTGTCCTTTACCATCAGAGACTCCGCTCGCCTCACGCCATGACGGCGGTCTGCGTGGGAATAAGTGAAAACATGCAAATCGATCTTCACAGCTGCCCATTTTCTTGTGTCCGAAGCGTCAAGAGACATCTAGACCGTGCCGCACTCTTCACAAATTTTTTACTGGGTGTGATCAGCTGTCCAGTCAGTTGGAGCTTATATATATAGCTCTCGACCAGGCTTCTTGTCCTTTTCCTTCATCCACACACCAAACTACTTCACAATCTTTTTTACTTATTGAATTCACAATCTTTTCAATCTTTCCTTCTTTAACTTTTACCCAATCAAACCTAAATCATGAAGACTGCTGCCCTTACCACCGCTGTTTTTATTGCTGCTTGCGTATTTACTTCTGACGCACGTGTTGTCAAACGCGATGCAGGTCTCACTGGTAAGGCATATCTTTTATCGTCTTGTTCATGAAAAAGCCCCTTAGGAAACTTGCTTGACTTTGTTTCCTACTATCTCTACAGATGCCGATATTCTCAACTTTGCTTTGACCTTGGAACATCTTGAAGCAAGCTTTTATACAGAAGGTTTGAGGAAGTACGACCAAAGTGCTTTCACCAGCGCTGGTTTCAGGTGTGTACATACACTTTTCTCTACTTGGCGCGTTGGTTTTTGAAAACCGTGGCGATAGCTCGTTTTGATTTCATCCCTTTGATCTCAAGTGCATCGACTCGTCAATCACTCCAAAAGATCTCGGATGATGAAGCTTCGCATGTCAGCTTCTTGACCTCAGCACTTCAAGCTGCCGGTGCGACCCCCGTCCAAGCTTGCAAATACAGCTTTCCTTACAGCGATGTCAAGTCCTTCTTAGCTGTCTCTCAGGTGAGCTTGCCAACGATGCATTACCCCTCAACAAAACACTGAGAGAGTGTCTTTCCAAATGTATGTGAACATCGGCGAAAACAGATCCTGGAAGGTGTCGGTTAGTCTCTTGCTTAGCTTTTTACATGCCCGCTCTTCCTGTCCTGAAGCACTTTTGCATTTTCTTTGATAGGTGTATCAGCCTACTTAGGAGCTGCTGCCTCGATCAAGAACGGAGGCTACTTGGTACATATTGTTTCTCTTTGCTCTCGCAGGTAAGACATAGAACTGACCATGCCTAATCTTCATTTCAGACTGCTGCTGGCTCAATCTTGACTGTCGAGGCCCGCCACAACGCCTATGTCCGTTTCGTCAACGGCAAATCCCCTTTCCCGGCTGCCTTCGATACACCTGTCGGACCTCGTGATATTATCACGTTGGCTACTCCTTTCTTCTCCAGCTGCCCAGCTGGATCAGCCCCTAGCCTCAAAGGATTCCCTGCTCTCAAGATCACCGGAACACTTACCCCGGGATCAACCCTCACCATCTCTGCCTCCGACACCAAGGGAGCCACTAAATGTGCTTTCCTCAGTGCTTTAGACTCCACCTACAGTACCTACAGCAACGGCAAATGTCAAGTTCCTAGCAAGATCGGTCAAGGACAGGTAATAAATCTGATCCTCACATCCAAGTTTTCTTAAGTAGTATACTAACCCGACATATTCCAATGGGACTTCCAGATCTACATTCTCTTGATCAATGGTGACAAAGTCACTGATGCTACCACAGTTGCCGGTCCTGGTATCATGGAAACAGAGACCTCTGCCACCTCCCACCCTGAAGAGGATGTTGAGGATGGTGAAGAATCGGATGAATATGTAAGAAAATTTCCCATGGATATAAGGAATGTCGTTCATTCAGAAATTGACCCCATGACTTCTAAAAAAGAATCTTCATCTGATAAGACTTCTGACCACCCATTAGTTGGTCTTCACTTATGAGCCAGCAAGGGTTATTAGCGTCATTTGACTACTTGAATTATCAACTCTTGAATTATCAACTCTTGAATTCTCTCTCCTCACCCACTTGTTCATCTGACCAAGTTCATATTTGTTATTTGCTTTTGTTTTTTTCTCTTGATGCTTTCTGAACTACGTGTTTCTGCTTAATGTACAGTACATTGATGAAATGAGAAATGACAGGTGATCTGGAAATACTCATGAATTAATGATGTTATAAGGCACTAAGGCTGTTAATCACATATGACTGATGAGAGAAGGAAATGCACCTGGAAAGAATCACAAATCAGCAGTGTTATAAAGTGCTAAGGCTGATGATCACATATGAATGATGAGATGGAAGATTGAAGATAGAGAGATGACATGTGCAAGTTCTGTGCAAATTGTTTCAACATCTTGCATAGAATTTGCACCAAACTTGCAAACTTAGGACTTACATATGTTAACGTACCAAAGCCCTGTTGCAACAAGGGCTTCCCAGCTTTGACCCACACAGTGCATGATCATGGGGGTTGTGAAAATAAATAAATAAATTTTGCATGGATCTTGCACAGCAGTCTTTCACAGATCTTGCACATGTTTGAATGCCATCAACCAAGGGACACTTTGCAAGCAACATATGTATGCTACAGGTGCCCATAGGAACAATCACAGGGGCCAAAATTGACGCTTGCATACATGCAAGCATTGTATAGTCACTAGTGTTGAGAAGCGTGAAATGTTGGACCAGTGAGTTTTTGTCTGGAAAATTGATGCCGAGCCACAAACCTCATCAAATCTGGGAGCCGAGGGTACCATTGGAATCCTGGCATCGGTGGCAATCCAGATATCTTGTTGAAAAGTGAAGATTCCAACTTCTTGTTTTACTTGGTTTCCGCAACATAAGAAAAACTTGGGTTGAAGTGGGGTTCTGCGTAAATACCCGGTCCGACATTTTACGCTTCTCGGCACTAGCGACTATACACTTTCCTGAACTCTGAAAGAAGAATTGTTTCTCTTTCAGATTCCTTTAATTGACAATTTTGGTGTAGTGCTCAGGTGATCAGGCTGTTCTGCTCATATTTTGCTGTACAGTGCTGGAGAATGCTCAATTCCATCTTGGATGAGCATTCTTTGAGCCCAGTCTCTTAGATGAGCACCCATAATCAGTTCATGAGTCACTGTATACTCAGGACCACTCAGCAACTTGTCCAAAATTCCGGATCATCAGGCTCCAAGGCATGCCCCCACAGATTAGCTGAGTGGCTGAGATGAAGTGAGTAGATGAGTCAGCCCTCTCTCAGGTGTCTTTGCTAAGGAGCGACGCTTGAGGATGGCCTAGTTCATCTTCTCAGTTCCTGTTTTGCTTGAATTTTGCTGTACATTTCTGGAGAATGCTCATTTTCATCTTGGATGAGCATTCTTTGACCTCAGTCTCTCAGATGAGTACTCAGAATCAGTTCATGAGTCACTGCATACTCAGAACTTGCCCAAAACCCCGGATCAGCAGGCTCCAAGGCATGCTGCTGAGGATCAGCTGAGTAGCTGATATGAAGTGAGCAGATGGGCCACAGGAAGAAAAGGGAAAGAATTTGGAAGTAAAATTGAACAAACATTGAAATAAAAAAATTCAATGCTCACCCCAATGTGAGCATCTATTTTTGCCCCTGAGGATGACACCTGTGTAGTTCCTGAACTGACAAGATGATAAAGGCACAAAACACCTGGCACAAAAATGCATTTGGCACTGGGTTAAAGGAGAAGGTCCCCCAACACCTTTAAAAGTAAGAAGAAATATTCAATTGCTTAAAGCCATTCCAAGACTGTTGGATTGATAATTTGTAAAAAGTTCATTGGTGCAGCAGATAAAATGACTGCAACTGCTTTTGCTGATTTTCTCTAGAAGTGAATGATCCACACCTGATGTGTGTGTTGCCATGGCCAAACTATGTCAAATCTTACTAATCAATGAGAAAAAGATGTTCTTGCTGCTAGCCATGAAAGCCCAACAACAATCCTCAGGGATTTAGCAGATGTATCTCAAAAGATGTGAAAGGAATGGTCACAAGGACACATGATTTTCATTGGAGAATCCTCTTCCTTCCATCTTGCTCAACTTTGTGAAAATTACAAACTGGGAAAACCCTCAAGTATTGGTTTTGCACAAGGGAGAATCTTTCAAGAAAAAGATCAACATTCCTTGGAATGGCTGTACTGTTCAAAGTAATAAATTTCCAACTCATCCCCATCTATTTGAGTCTGAGTTTTTCACTGTGTGTTGAATTTTCATATATACTTCCTCTCTCTTGTGCTCTGAGTTTGTTCCTCACTGTTTGGAACAAGAATAACTCAGAGTACACATTTTTTCTTCTAATCTTACTTTACATACATGGCTTCCTGGATAGTACTCACATACTCAACTTTAGTTCTCCCTGTTTGTACTTCCTGTGCTATTGCAGGTAAGACATCAAATCTTTCCGCCCTTTACTTCCTTGTTGAGTTCTCCTAGAGCTCACCTTTTCACCTGTCTGGCCAGGTAACTTATCTTTCCACTTTTGTTTAGTTCTTTGTTTTCAATGGAAATCACTGTTAGGAACAAGAATAACTCAGTTTCTCCCTATTTTTACTTCCTACGCTATTGCAGGTAAGGCATCAAATCTTCCCGCCCTTTACTTTGCCTTTTCACCTGTCTGTCCAGGTGTATTCCCTGCTCTCTAGGGTAGATTCTCATTCCACATTGTAGCATTTTCATTTTTTTTGATTTAGGTTTTGATTTAGGTTTTTAATGTTTGTGTACCCTTATCAATATTCTTTTGTTACAGATCTCATGAGTGTTCTATTCCACCTTGTGTTTTTCTTTTACAACATGTGACCTTTTCTATTTGCTCAAAGTTGCTTTGCTGATATAATTTTCTTCTCAGACAGTAATGCTGTTACTTTGGCTTATCACTTTATAAACTTTGTCCTCCTTCTCTTTGAAGTGGGTAAGTGCTTTCCTCAATCTTTGTGAATTTCTTTCCAATATAGTTACTTCTTGGGTTCACATCAATGCCAATTTGATTATCTGCACTGCTATCCACTTCCTTCAATCAGGCTATAAAATTCTGACATAAGTATGGTTTTAACATTCAATTTATACCTCTGTTCAAAAAATGATATCATTGTTATCACTTTTTCTAATATGCAATATTATTTACAGTAATTCCCTCTACCAACTTTTCTATTGCAGATTTAGCTGACTTCTTGGTTGCCTAATCATCACCCTACCCTTCATACTCTTATTCTTAAATCAACCTGCATCAAGATCTCTAGTATGTTTCACTCTTGTCAATGATTGATTTGTAGGAACTGAAAACTTGTCAGAGGCAGAGCAAAGATTTTCAGAATTAGTCCAGGTTAGGCAAAACAACCTACAATCACCACACACTTATCTACTGGGATTGCAACACAGATTTGTATCAACATGTACAGTGCAAAACCTGTACCTACATGATATAACTGCTTCCCTCTTTGCCTAATGTGTAGCTCTATAGATCTTATAGTATTGATGCAACAGTTATGGGCTTGAACGTAACATTATAAGCACCATGTGTAGAATACATATTTTTTGCCAAACATTGGAGTGTCAAGTTTTTGACTCTAAAAAGCCTTGGTAGAATGCATTGGGAACCACTTGGGATGATCTTATAGTATTTGGGATAGATGGGGAAAGTTTGAAGATGAAAATTGTTCTGTGATAACAAAAAGTCAGATTTCTTCTTGTTGTATGCAAGCTTGAAATGTATGTGCTCATCAAAACGGTAACTTCATTGTATCAAAGGGAAATATACAAGAGCAAATTGTTGCCTACGTCCCTGACTTTTACTTTGAACTCCTCTGTGGAATAGAACCATAGATTGGCCTGATTTCAATGGCTGTATATACATAAAACACATGAATTGATGGACTTGAAGAGATATCTTACATACTTTAACACATGATATCATTTCCCAAATGCCACCATACATTTGGATCAATTGATGTGTTTTGAAAGGAATTCTAAGAGCAGTTGGGGGAATGTGGATGAGAAAATTGGTAGAGAGAGTATATGAGGGTAAGTACATACATAGTGAAAAAACTAGTGTAAGTGATAATTTTTCTAGAGGGGCAACACAGAAGCTGACACCTCCATACAAAGAAGGAACTATTTAGGTTTATTCCAAGATACAATGTACAGATAACCTAGTGATCTTTTTGAACATAGTTGATGAAAAGCAGTTGGTAGTAGACATTTGATTGTATCCTATAATCTTATGATCATACTCTCGAGACAGTGCACTATTTTCTTGGGACATGTTGCATCATGGATAAAAGCAAACGATCTGGTACATTAGGGGTTCTCAAAGTTGGCCCGGTTTCAAGAAAACCCAGTTGACCCGGTTGCTTTTTGGCAGTAACCTTGTGTATCGAGTTGACATTTTTTGACAGATCACAGCCAAAAAGTCAACTGGGTCA